TGGGGATCCTTTTTTATAGATTGGGGAGATTCTTGCCAACTTAAGCATTGAGGGAAAACATCCTTCATTTAGAGAGGTATTAATGATATTTTCAAGAACGTCCAACAATAAATGACCACACTGTTTAACAACATAGACACTTATTCCATATATATCTTCAGTCTTCTTGTTTTTCAATGCTTTCTTGTTTATCAATGCTGGAAATGTGTCTGCTTTTTTGGGCATTTTTAAACAAGGGGATGACTTTGAAGTTTTTGAGGAAAGGCTTGAGCAATATATCGCAGCTAATATGGTGAGGCAGAGAGACAAGTTAATGTTCTGCTAAGATTTTTAAGCGAAGACATGTATAAAATTTTGAGAGACTTACGTAGACCACTGAAACCTAGCCAAAAAAAATTTGACGAGCTTATGAACCAACTGAGGGATCATTTCAAGCCAAGACTCTCAATTTACCGGAAGATAATTGTTTTTTATTCTTTAAGACCAAGTCCGGAGTCAGTGAATGACTGTTATGTCAAAGTCAAGAACACTGAAACTCAATGCGATTTTGGGCATCAGTTAATGTATCGAGTACAGGAAAAATTCATCTGTGGTATGAGACCTGGACCAACATTGGATAGAGTTTGTGAGGAGAAACCAACGAGAAGTTTCAAAGAGCTTTTGGAGACCGCATTAGACAAAGAGGCAGCATTGAAAGATCTAAACAAAAGCAGTAATATTGAAGTGAATAAGGTACAGAAATTCAGAATGGGACTGGTTCGGCAACTGTTAGTAAAAGTCAAAATAAGAGGGTGGAGAAGAAACACAGTACTAGTGAGGTAGTAGAATTGAGATGTAATTTTGTTATGTAATAATTATGGCGAAAGACACTGTCAACAGATGGTGAATTTGAAAGAGTTTCATTCATTTTTCTTGTGTCTACATTATTGAACGTTAATGGAATATTCACATGGTGCATCATTCAATATTTGTTTACCATTACAGCCCACTCAATGATCTTTGTTTCCCGCTACAGTCCACTCAATGATCTTTGTTTCCCGTTACAGTCCACTCAATGAACTTTTTTCTGTATAATTTTGCCAAACACCATCTACGATCATTAAAATCAATTAGCCCAATTGAAAATTAACGTTACCATTTTATTTATGTACTTGTGATATGTTCTAGAAGTTTGACCAAATCAAAGTGCTGAGTTTTGGAAAAAATTGAGCGTGAAGTGGTAATAAAACTTTTTCTCTTACATATTGGGACATTGAGAAATTCAAACGAACCAAATTGACGTCATCTTCATCTCCTGAAGACCCCAACTTGGTTGATGAAACGTGCCTCATTTTTTTGATTTATTCTATGCCATTGCTTCCAGTTTATCTTCCATTTTTTTCATTTTCATTTGACTTGATCTTTTATTTTGCAGTACTAACTAACAAATGTTATAATAACCAATGAATCAAGCTGAAATAAATCAATTTTATATATTTCACATGATAGTCTAAGATAGTCTATAAAAATCTGAAATATTAGTTACACACAAATAATCTTTTTTCTGCCCATTGAATACTTTTTTATCTTTTATTAACTTCAACTTTCATTTCGTTATAAATATAAACGAGGTACAGCTATTAGCTTCAAACTTAGTGACGTGATAAGACATAATATGCATATTTTCTCAAACATTTCTGCATTGCTTTGAGAAGAGAAGTTTGCACTGACATGACTTTTTCTTGATTTTCTACCTCAAAAGAGAATGAGCAACACTTAAAAGAATGACAAGTCACAGGAAAATTGTTTTTAAATGTACCTTCATTCATTCGAAACAATAGACAGAGATATATTAATCCAAAAGCTGAAATATTATGCTACTGGTGATGTGGTTTTGAAGTGGATGAAAAGTTACCCCAGTTTGAGGAATCAAATAACAAAAATTAATGTGCTACTCTCAAGAGTTAGTAAATGATTTTGGAGTTCCACAAGGTAGTGTATTAGGACCATTACTTTTTTGAATGTATATAAATGATATCAATTACGTAGATGGTGATCATGTGATTAATTTATTTGCAATGACACATTAATATATACCTATGATAAAACTTTGCAAGTGGCTGTTGAAAAGATGGATATTTCACTGAAAAATATTGAGTTGTACCTTGTAACAAATGAACTGAAACTTAGTATTCCACATTTAAAGAGATTCGTTTCTATTTCACCATTTGGCAACATCGGTTATAGCTAGTAAAGGACAATGAATCTGTTACCTGTATGAGACAAACAAAGATGACATATTTCAGAGGCGTGCTGTTCTGTTTACTTATGTTCCGAGTTCCGAGACATTCTGTGACATGACATTTTGTGCACCTAACCTATCTTCCTCTATATAAATAAATAACAAAACAACTGTTGTTTATGTGGCTTGTGGAGGTGGTATTGAACTATAATTTATATTTTGCCTCAATTGTTGATTTATGAAGATAATTTTCCTTTTTTAAAGTAGAACGTCTAGGTATGTATATATTATTTCAACTTGATATATGCGCTGTTGCCAATATGTGAATTAGAAACAAATCCATTTAAAAATTAAAACCCAACATTTGAAACATCAATTTGAATACTTTTCGAAGTGAATTTGAAAAACTCATGAATTAAACTCAACTTTATTTTGTTCGAACTTGCATTTGCTGTAATAACCCAAATTGAGGAACATTCCCCATTGCATAATAAAACCTCATTATGAATTCAGTGGGACTCTTAAATCAGAACAAACTGAATCAATTAGAAAAATTACAGAACCGTGGAATGTGAATAATATTACGCTGCAATAGAATGACACCTATACAAGATAAGTTCTGCAGTTTTAGGTGGCTCAATATCTCTCAAACAACTGCACTATCAAACTATGATATACATATTTGAAAAAATAAATAAATTGCAACCAACATAGTTAGTAAACCTTTCAATCAAAAATAGTGAAGTACATCATAATAACAGATCGAACACCAACACATATTCACGAAGCAGTATGAACTGCTCCAAGGGTCTGGGTAGTTTTGATAAACTGCCAAATAATATAAAAAATTCTTCTTCTATCCATCTATTCAAGAGGGACTTGATAACATTTATAACGACAAATTGAATTAAAGCTAAATTATTTGAATTGAAGGGGTTATATTTTTTTTAGGAGTGATTAATTTTTGGGAAAGAAAGTTTTTGGCTTTCTACTACTCCATCTTGATAAAAAAAAAAATGTATCAAGATAGAGTAGTAGAAAGCCAAAAACTTTCTTTCCCAGCTAATTTGTATTCAATTTATGTTTAAAAAAATATGTTTAATATATGTTTTTCCGTTAATATATTAATAACTAAGACTCTGTTCTTAATGAATATGTTAATAAATATGTAAAAGTGTATCCTACATAGAATATGTGCAATATATGTTTTTTGTGGGATTGTTTTATGATTTTCTGTTATTTCCTTGAAAACAGAATAACTTATTTTGATTTTTATTGTATCATGCGTAGATAAACTACATTAATTATGTTTATATTAGGCTTGCATCTGAAAATAAAGTTCTCATATTTATTTAATAATCTTGATTGAGATCAGCTGCCTAAGAATAGATAACATTAGTTGGTAACTGACCGAGAAAAATGTTTTGTTTGTTTTGAATGAGGAATTTAACATTGACTTCAGGAAACTACGTACGTTATTGTATGAATTATATGTATTATACTGAACTAGCAGCAATAGACGGCATTGCGGTGAAGAGGAAGTGAAAGTAAACCTTTTATAAGTTGAAAAATGTACTCACCCAGCATTCCATTGGCGGTAGGTTGGAAATTTAGGAGCACCGCCTTCTGGGCACCGCCGGCGGTCGAGTTAACCAGCGACGACGGCTGAACGACGTACATCACCTGGGTAGTACCGGAGCCGGCGCTGGAGGTCACCACGTTAGCGGGAATCAGACCGTTCTTCAACTGCGTCGGCGTCAAGCGAACACTCTGCGGCACCGTCGTCACCGTCCTGTTCGGCGGCCCCGTTTTCGCACCTGCCGCCCCCGGGGCCTTCACCTGCTGCTTGTTCATGGTTCTGCTTGCGGGGCCAGGCGGTTTCCCGGCGACGGGGCCGTTGTTGGCGGTCTTGTTCTGGACTAAGTTGACGTTCTTTTGTGGCGCCGCCACCTGCTTCATGTTGTGGACTTTCAGCGGCGTTCCTCCGACTGCAGTCTTGGCGGTTTTGTCGTCTTCGTCGGTCAGATCGATGACGCCGGGGTTGCCGCCCGGTTTCGTCGCCTCCGACGAAGGTCTCGCGCGAATGGGGGTGGGTCGTTTGGCAATCGACGGCATCTGTCTCGGTTGAAGAGCCTGCGAGAGGATCGGAGTCGGAGCCTTCCGTGTGGATGGAGTGGATGACGTAGAGTTGGAGGTTGTGGTCTACAATAGAAAATATAATAGCGTTACAGAACTTTCGGAAGGGATTATTCGCTTCGGCGAGTGTTAGGTTAGCCTAAACTTGGGACAAGGAAACCATTACACAGGCGTCGTCATATCCGGAGCAGTTTGTGGGAAGAGCTCTCAATGAAGATGGTAAAAGCAATACACACCATATACAGATTCACAATTACCACAAATCCAACAACAATACACATTCCTCACAACTGACGCCATACCTTATATTTCCGGTTTGTTTGAGAAATTGAGACGCATCGATTATAGATATAATGTGAGAACAACTTTTAGAACTCTCAACACATTAAGATCTCTTTTGACACAAAGTAAACCCCAAAATATGGTTGTTTCATTGAAAAATGATCCCTGGATGTGAGAAAAAATTAACATCATGAATATATGAGACAGATGGCGGGATCAGAGATAGCGGAGCATATCCTAAAACCAACTAGTGATCACGCTATAGAATGGAGCGAAACAAAAATCTTCACCAAAGAAACTCATGAAAAAATTAAAAACCTCAAAAAATCAGCATATATTCTTTCAACAGGTAACAAGTGTATTTCAAATAACTTTGTAGAAATGCATCATATCTGTTTGTCATCACTAAGAGAGGTTGAAAACAAAAATATGAACCTTGACTGGATTCTCAAAAAACATTCAGTATATGTATTCATGTAGACCAGGGGTCTCCAAACTTTGAAGCCTTCGGGCCATAATGATTTTTTCAGTTTGTTCCAAGGCCCAATTTCAGCCCTTAACTATATTTCTAGACTAGGATAGTCGCAAAGTGCGTGACCTAAGCAAACTTACGTTTTTTTGCATTTCAATTATTATTGTGTATTGTGACACTTAACGACATCTAGTGGCGAGTAGTGGTACTATGTAGTATCTTTTTCAGCTACCCGCTAGGTGACATTAGGCGTAATTAAATATTTGGAATTATCGTGTTGGTTCGAGAAAGTTCTGGTTCTAGCTTGTGTATTCCGATCACCTCGAGATGGCAGTAATAATTGCATGTAAAAAGGCTAGCGGCGCAACTGCGAGTTAGTCTGCGTAGGAAAGGCGAAGGAAGCGAAACTGTCTATTGTGAAATAAAGTAACACCCGTCAATAAAAGTATTTTGATTTGACTTATTGTTTTGTGTGTGATTTGTTAGTATGGAAAAGAAGCGAAAAATCGACAGTGAATGCAAAACGTGCCAAGAAAAATGGAACTTTCAGTATTTCATGATTGAGTCCAGTAATAAGGCGCTATGTTTAATTTGTAATGAAACCATAGCTGTTCTCAAAGACTATAACATTAAACAACACTATGGATCGAAACATCTTCAAAGTTACTCCAAGTATACAGGAAGTTTGCGGAAGGAGAAATTTGAAGCTTTGAAACGCGGACTCAAATCGCAGCAATCTTTGTTTACCAAAGCGAATACTGAACAAGAGTCTGAAACTCGCGCCAGCTTTCGTGTGGCTCTTGCAATCGGAAAACGTGGCAAACCATTCACCGATGGAGAAATGATAAAAAAATGCTTGATTGCAGTAGCCGAAGAAATATGCCCCGAAAAGGTAAATTTATTTAAAAGTGTCAGTTTGTCAGCAAACACCGTGGCTCGGAGGGTGCAAGACATCGCAAAAAATATATCTCAACTGTCTGACAAAAATGGACATCATGAGTGGTTTTCTCTAGCATTGGATGATTCAACGGATGTCAGATACTGCTCAGGTGTTGATTTTTATTCGCGGAGTAGATGAAAGCTATGAATACACAACAAGACCTCACATTCAATATAATAAACAAAACCATACACATTCCTATAGAAGATCTAATACAAAGAATAGTACCTGATGCAGTACAAATACAGGCAAATTTACCTTAAGTACCTGAAATACCTGAGTTGAGATGTTCGGACCATATAAAGAGGCAGACGACAGGATGACAAGTCCAGTTTGAGGAGTACCTAAAAGATGATAGTACGACCAGCTGTCGAAAACGCTCGCAGATAATTAATAGAAGATATAAAGCTTCAAAACCTTTTTGTGAAATTTAATATTAAAATACTGAAAATAAAGGAAAATTAGTTGCATCATTAAAAAAACATTTCAATTCTGTATGGATGATACCTATTCCTCTTCAAAAGTCTCCACACAGTAGAAGGAGATACCTCACAAACATTCACGACGGAATAAGTAGACTGTTACGTCTGCTTCATAACAAACATATTTATGAACAACTTGGAGACCACTATAGTAAATTCCGACCTGGGTAAAAGTCATATTCATTTTTGGTACAGATATCTAGACGATATTATTGCCTGTTTCAGAGGTACTACACGACAGCTGAACCAATTTATGACATTCATGAACAATCTCAACAGCAATATTCAGTTCACACTCGAAACAGAGATAGAGATACAGATAAATTTCTTAGACCTGGCCATTACACACAATCAAAATAAATTCGAGTTCAAAGTTTTCAGAAAACCTAGCTATACGGACATCACCATCCCAAGCGATTCTTTCCATCCAGACAGTCATAAATTAGAAGCCTACAATTCAATGTTGCACAGAGCATTCTCACTGCCTTTGTCTGCAGACAATCTAGCTAGGGAAATGGATACAATTACACAGATAGGTCATAATAATGTTGAATGATCAAACCGATTTAATTTACTCTCCGGTTTTTGAATTGGCACATCTGCATTGTGAACTGTAAATTCAGGTACTCAATCAAGTACCTGAACAGTAAATATTGGCGAATGTAATGAATCATTGTTAGTTTATTGTATTAGTTTGAGAATGTCCATATAGGACGACACTGCAGCAACGTTAGTTACAATTAAAAGTGGTAAAAAACATAGAAAATTTCATTTATCTTTTCAACAAGAAAAATGCTCAGTATTCCTTACTTCTCAGGTATAATAAATATCATCACTCTTATTACCTGACTGAGCTGCCGCACGACACCAGAGTTAGCTGGAGTGATACTCCTCGTCCGATTAACAGCTGCAGCAGGAGACGGCGCAGGAGTCCTGTTCGGAGTAGTGTTTACAATGCTAGGTTTCCGCCTATTGATCACTTCCGAACCAATATTCAGCTTCACTTGCAGCCCCACTGACCTTGTGATTCTCAAAGGAACCAGAGGTTTCTTCCCGTTCTGCCCTAATTCGTTGATGAGTTTCTTGTTGACTATTTCTAGATCTCTGGCTTGTTTCGTCAATTGCTGTACGTCCTTCCTCAGATTCTCGATGAGCAATTCTTGCTTCTTCACCAGCTGGTGCAAATCTCCGACTTCGGTCTTGTGGACCATCGCTTCGCAGATTTTCTGCAAACAGAACTGCTCCAGATCGGAGAGAGTGAGTTTCTTCTTGCCCTGCATGAACTTGTCGAATGTTATGAGCGTCTTTAGTCTGCTGCTTCTGTCAGAGCAGGACTTGGCCGGTTTTTCACAAGACGAGCGAAATTTTTTTGTTGTTGTTTCGATTTCTGGGGTGCCTGTCTCAGAATAACTTCTCTTGGTAGGCTGGGTCACATTTTCTTTAATCTTTTCTGCAACAAAACATCGGAAATTTTCTATATAAATATGTGATATTGTTGTTTTTAGGTGTGCGTACATCTATAATAATAATAATAATAAAACGTCTTCATTCACCATAAAAAGTACAATTAAGATAGACAAAAAAAATTGTAAACAACTTTCAGTATGAAGGTGAATGGGCAACATCTTGTACAAACTTTTTGAGAAGTTTCTCGATTCCCTACCTTCATCATATAAGTATACAGGGTAACCCAAAATGTCATAGGATTTCTCAAGACCCAGCAGAATCACCACGGTGTATTTTAAGCGATCTTTTGTAATTTTCCATGTTTGAATTTATCAATGTCTCTATAAGAATATTCATCCGTACTTCATCTATCTATCTATCTTAATCTTATCTTTCAATCTATCTAGAAAGCAATTTTTATCATTTATCATAAAAACAGCTAAACCACGTTCTACGAAAGATGTAACATCACTATTTTTCATGTAATTTTTTTTTTGTAGGCATAAAATAAAAAAACATACCCAAGCCCGCAATCTTCTAAAACTGAAAAAGAACTAAGAAGGAAACCTAATAAAGTAGTAACTAAATCTACATACCTAATCAGTATCCGGTTTATGTACATAACCCCATTTTTCTTCATTTCATATTTCACATACTAAAAATAATTCGATGTAACTATAGAAAAATATTTCACACTTTTTCATTGTTTATTCCAATTATTATAATAGATACAAATTTGGAACAATCGTTTTGAAGTTTCTGTGGTCAATGACAGTCGTAAATATTTCAATTTGGCGCACGCCTTCATCGTTTTGACTGTTAGTTATTAGTTGAATGCTGGCCAACTTTTAGTGTTCATAGAATTCCCAAAAACGCTCTCGTTTTTATACAACTAATGAAAATGAAGCAGTTACCTTGATATTCGTCTATCTTTGCTGAAAATTCCTGGCCCATAACACATTTTTCCGAGGAGTTTTATGTACACAGACCTCTAAGATTGAATTTATTCATTTGTTTTGGCTTTTTTGACCGATGAAGCGTTTATTTGACGCGTAGTAAGGGCTGCCAACGGCTTTATTGAGCGGAAAATTATACATACAATTCGCGTATATTATACATAAAATTTTTGCAGTGAACCTTTTCAAGGTATAAGCCTTATAAGTTGAATCAGCGATGTTTAATGGATCATTGTTTTAATGTAAGGAAATCTGTTTGGACTATAACTGAGAACAAACACAAGGATGTTTTTCAGGCCTTTCATCACAATTTTTTCTGTGCGTCAGCATAAGCCGTATTTTTCGTGGGTTCTTTGTAAACAAACGTGTTGAAATATATAAAAATATGTAAAAAATAAATAAAATGGAACTCATTTCATTCGAATAGGCAAAAATAAGTGAAATAATAAGTGTCATAGTTGAAAAAAAAAAAATTAAAAATATTATCGGTTATAAGTTTTTACTGAAAAATATTCTAAATGCAGAAAATATTAGTTGTCAGTGAAAAAATGTGGCAGAAGTGATGGTAGTTTTCGATAAATTGACGAAAGATAAGTACTCATATTTGCTCCTTGAAATTTTATGACGAAAATAGATAAACCAATCGAGGGGGTAGCTTATAATTGTTAGTACAATAACAATGTTTTCGAAATCACAACCTTATTTTTAGCTCAAAATTTCAATAACCCATTTAATCAATTTGCATTAATTATTGTCATTGTTTATTGAGACTATTGTCTTTAAACCGATGAAATGATAAAATAATTGAAGGCTAGGTCATCAAATCAGTTTACAAAACCGCGACGTGTTTCGCTATACGATAGCATCTTCAGGCGTCACAATATCAACAAAACAAACTCTGTGTCATGCTTTCATGATATTCTGAATCCTAATGACTATTACTACCTGACAAATTTCTACCTGATGAATTCACTACCTGAAATAATTACCTTTCTAAGAACAACTGAAACCTGAAACCTCATTTCACCTACTTTCAAGATCTTTCCTAATTACCAATTTCATCATTACAAACTGAATTCTTTGAATGGAAACACTTAAAATATATTTGATCATTGAACAATAATCCCGAGCTCTGAAATCTTTTAACTTCCAAGCATTCCAAATGGCTATATTCTGAACCTTCCCCTTCCAAATTCAATACGCCACAATCTTCATTGAACTTGTGCCCCTCCGTCAAAAGATGGTTTGCAAATGTTGAATTGGTCTTTCCATTCAAAAAACTACTTCTATGATCTTTTATGCTTTTAGCGAAAATTCTTCCGGTTTGGCCAATATAAGATTTAGGACAAGAACCACAAGCCAACTCATATAATCCTGATCTATCTTTATTCTTTTTAATGAATTTATTCAAATTATCATTTGTTATGTAGGCTATGGTCTTGTTTGTTAAAAAAAAACAGGCGATATTAATAGTAGGATCACCAACGTAAGTTAGTCATATAATGTTTACTATCATTCTTTGAAACAAAGTCCCAGAGATGCTAGACTATGTGAATTTAGTATATTATTGACGCTTCCATCAAAAACGATCTATATGGGAGAATAGGATGATGAAAAAGAGACCTATTTAGTTTCAAAATATTAGCTTTGTCTAAACAGTCTGGCGGTTTTGGAATCGGGAGCCTTTTCCAAGCAGTAACTCTGACAGATATATCTCAAACCATTTCCCCAAGATTATAATTGAAAACTCTATCGCCAACATTGATAAAAAACTCACCTTGACTTTCGGTTTCTGCGTTCGTCTCCCTCAAAGCTGGCTGCTCGGACGAGTCCTCGCATTCGTTTCCTGTATTCCCTAAAGTAGGACTTGCAGGGCCCTCAACCTCCTTCATAACAACGTCATCATCACCCCTGGTTTCGGCATCGCTCGTATTTTCACTCACGAGGTTATCGACAGTTCTAGTATCCTGATCGCAAGAATTACTATTTCCTTCTTCGGAATCAATACGGTCGTCTTTGTCACTGGAAAGTAAATTGTCCTCTTGATCGGCCTCGCTGTCGTCCACTTCATTATCGGGTTTGTCATCATCCTGATCGTCGTTATCAGATTTCTCGCTGGACTGATTGTCATTGGCACTTTCGGCTATGGCTGTCGCGTTGTCTTCATCCACGTCGCGAATAATTGAGACATCCAATAGATCGTCGCATTCCAGACTGTTCGTGGAATCGTACGACTTGTCCAGCTGTTCTTCATCTTTTTTCTCGTTTGTATCTTTATTTGAGGTCGAGCTCGATTCAGTTTTGGTCCTAGACGCTTTCGTTGGTTCGTTCTCGGGTTCCTCTTCTTCCTTACAGCTGGACTGTTCCTCATCAGGTTTTTGTTTCTCTTCCTCCAATGGAATATCAATATCCATGGACTTCTCTCCGTCATCGAGCTCTATGGTCTCGGGGGCTTTAGAATTCTCTTTTGGTTCACAACTCTCCGGTTCGCTTACCGTGACATCTTTTTCCTCGGCATTATTTTCACTAGAACCATTCGGAACGCAGCCAGAGTTGATTTCTTCGAGTTCAGCGCAATTTTCCATGTTATCATCTGCACTACTACTACAGGACATTCTGTTAGGACTGGTCGTTTGATGGGTCGATATCTCTTCTAAGGCCGGTTCTTCAACCATCATTTCATCGTCATCGCTATCCATTTTTTCGCTGACCTCCTTCACTATATCCTTGATGAGATCGTCTTCCTCATCACATTTCTTTTCTTCCTCCGACTTTTCGTCTAGGTTTTCTTTTTCGGTAGTTTCATTTTCTACGCAACTGGTTTGGAGTGAATCTCCATTTGCATTTTTCTCTTCTGACGCCTCTTTACCAGCACTACCCAAGACGTCTTCAGATCCTGGACCACTTTTCGACAATGAATCAGTTTTAGTAGTCTCGGAAGGTGTTTGATTATCTGCGCTCACTTCTACATGATTTTTTTCACTTTCAACTGTTTCAGTTACCGACATGTCTTCCACCTTTTCCGAATTGCCAATGACTTTTTCTTCATCTTCTTCGATGGGATCACCTTCTACTTCAACATTATCGACTTCCATTTTCTCACATTCTGTGGAGGCTTGGCCTCCCGTACTTGTTTCCTTCTCCTCAAAGGATCCATTCAATTCGTCAACAACGTCAAAATCCGCTAGGTCCGTACTATCGTCGAGTTCGTTCCGAACTTTGTGGATGGCTACATTGTTAACCGATTCCTCTTCTGACAACCTTCTAGTCACAGTCTTATCGTTTTCATCAATTATGGTTTCTTCTTCTACAACTTTACTAGCGGTACTTGTGGAAACCGTTGAATTTGCGGTTTCATCTTCAGTCTGCTTATCAGTCTCCTCGCCTGATTTAGCTTGAACTTTTTCACATCCATCATCGATATCATCGTTTAGGATGCTATCCTCCATCTTTGGGTCCAAATCTGGCGTTGCAGTTGTTTCAAACTTATTCAATATATCATCTTCTGTTTCTGCGTTGGGACTGGCAGTTCTGGAGGTTTCTTTAGCTGAAAAACAAATACTCTCGAGTTATATTCTCGCGGCGTTCAATTCTAAACTCACCGTCTAAATCGTCATCACAGCCTAACATTGGAAGATGAAAACTCTCCTCATCTGAATCTTTTTCCTCGTCCCGCGTCGATTTGAATGTATCGAAGAGTTTTAACGTATTCGAAAGACTGGAGAGTCCGGGAGGTTTGCTCTCGCACGGTTCGATAGTAGACGCCATAATTCCTGTAAATGAAATGACAGCTGTCAAATATAACTTGACGTTTTGTTCTAGCATTAGAATTAGACGCAAACAACGAATGATATGGTGATTTTTCACGCATAAATATAACGTTTTTTAAGTAGATGAAAACAAGGCGGATCATACTGGGTGTACCATAACTCATTAGGCCTTATTTTTCAATATAAACCTAACACATATGTCAAAGACTTTTACTATCACCAGTCACCAAAGCAATTCCTTCTCATTTTCCTCAGAAAATCAGCCTAACTCTTTCAATCTGCTTCCCCATTTTTTCTCAAAAGGTTCGCTTATGTAATCCAACATTTTTTTTTTGGTAGGCAAAATTATTAAATACGACAAGTTACTTTTTTCTATGTGAAAAATACGCTATCACAATTTCTTCAGACATGAGACTCAATTTTTCATTATTGAAGAAGAAGAAGAAACCTATCGGTTTCTTCTTCTTCTCTTTTTTATGGCCTTTGCTTCTCTTACGGCGCAGTAGGCTAAACCTACCGATTTAAAGCTGTTTTGAGATTGTATACGGTTTGAATAAGTGTCGGAAGGAGACCACATGATTGAACAATCAATATGAACCAATTTGGGTCATCTATCATCTAAACCCCAAGCGCAAAAGGAGGAGTTAGTATCCTGGTATTTTTAAAAGGACTCCGGTTTCAAGTGTGTATTCTCTTACCCTATTTATTTTCAAAGTGGTAACTGAAATGACAGCAGTTTGTCCGTTTATGGACTATATTCGTGAAACAGTTAGATTTTAGGTAGGAACTCTCAAAATCCGTAGAACTAACAATCTTTCCACAAAACAGCTGAACATTCTCCAATTTTTGCAGGCGAGAGTTACATTTTTAAAACGCGCAAGCGTAGTTAGTATTAATTATGTTGACAGTGTTAGCTAATGTAACTTTCAATAAATTGCATAGAATTACAACAAACACTAATTGTATTGCATTGGATTTGCAAGTTTGTTATTTATGCTGTTTTTTTAGTTCACTTTTACCAACGTTTCATGATTCACTAGATGTAGAGATATGGATTACCCGGACTGCATGAAATCAAGATTGGGAAATGCCATCGGACAGGAATACGTTGACTCTACACTGAATGTCACGCAAGAATCACCAGAATAAACTGAGAAGTATGCTAGACTACGGTCATCAATTCCACGTGTCGACCATGATTTAGCACATAACCAGAAATGGAGAAGGCCAAAAAACAAAACAATAATGAGAAAATATACCGGGATCACCATTTGAAAAAACTTTCATGAAGGGTTCATTAGGAAAAAAACAGAGTTGAACAGGAATCGAACCTATCAATTTAGAGAACTGAATAAAAGATGAGTGGACCCGGAAATCGTTGTTTTGCTACATAAATTATTTCTATCAGAACAACATACCCATGCCATGGATAATTGTCCGTGTGAAGAAAACCGGTGTGCTCAAATCCAACCCACAAACGGACTTATTAACAGTCATTGCAAATGCCAATCTGATTGAAAGTTGCACATGTTAAAAATGAATTGGCACATCTGTAGGTATACTAGGGATTAGTGGTATTGATATATTTTCACTTTGAAATAAAAAATGCTAACTTCGAATAATAAGAACGTTTTCATTAATTTTTAATGACTAATCGCGTGCCGTTGCACAGCAGTGGTGGATTCAAATTATGGAGCCATCCAACCTTCAGTTGTGAATTATGCCATGCCTGGCAAATCCAATGAGTTCAAAAACTCGGTTGGATAATTCACAGCTTCTGTGGTATCGCTAACTGTATCTACACTCGATGGATAAACAATAATAATGGCCGAAAACTGTGTAGCAAGTGAGATTAATGGCCGAAAACTGTGTAGGAAGTGAGATAAGGCTTATTGTGTAAGAGAGACAGAAGACCGGCTTCTTTCTCATCCCTACTCCGTACTGTTTACCGAGTTAGAAGTGACATAGGTAGACGCCTGCCGGGAATAACAATGATTAAGCTACTAAAATGGCTATTTAAAATTAGGGGTTGGTGATATAAGAGTAAAAAATGGGGGATATAAGTATTTTTCAATGCTACATCACCCTTATCATTTACGAGTATGAAAAAATGACTACCGAATATACATATAAAATTTTCGAGGAGTATGGCAACTAACACTGTGACAGAAGAATTTTATATATCTATTAGAATATTATCACAAAGAACGAAATGGTTGGCAAAGGCGTTATGATAGGATGAAAAATGAAATAGATTTGTGAGGCTGCATTATTTTGCACAAGCAGCAAATAAACAATTGAAATAATACACAAAACACAAATAGTAATACACAGTATGTCCAAGATAAGGACTGCCATCATAGAAAAAACTCAATCCGTAAGAGATATGCAGTGGGCAAAATTAGGAAAAATTAGCCAATTCCAGAGTTTGTTCAAGTGACGTTTTAAAATTGAAATTTAAATTTTCGCCAAGTCTAACTCCAGACGAAACGTCAGACTAAAAATATGTGAACGCCACATTGCACAGATTGAAAAGTGGAAATGAGGATGTGACTTTTGTTTTTAATATCACCTTGAATAATGTCAGAAAAAATAAATAAAACAAAATTGACATTTTCAGTTCGGTTGGCCTCCTTATCTTGGAGAGACGGGATAATAAAACTATAAAAAACTTAACAAAACGGGATTCAATCACTGACATGCAATTGTCGACATTCCAAAGGTATGAGTGGAGATATTTTTTATAAAAAATGTGAAAAGGGAGTATAATAAATTCTAGAAAGTTGCAAGAAAAAATACTTCGTGGCAAACGTGTTATTTCCTTCAATTTGAAATTTCTCAAGCATCTTGAAATTTTTACTGTTTTATTTAAATTATTACCCGCATTTAGCAACCCCCCTGGTCTCAAATTCGTTATATCATTTGTGAAAATCACACATTCTTGAATAACGAACATAATTTATTTATAAATTCACTATTAGCCTCCGATATCATGAAATTCATCGTGAATGTCCCTGAAGTCCATTACAAACCTAACCTATAAACCTAAACCTATAAAAAAGTGTTATAAAAACCCAATGAAGAAATCTTCAAGGAGATTACTGACTTTCAGGTTAACTAAGAAAAAGTCAACGTTTCTTTCTAATTTTTTTAAATCACCAATAACCTTGATGAAAGTACAATTCTCAATAATTACTAAAATTTAATACCGACGCCTCTGAATGTAAGAGCTCCAATGAGATGTATCAATTCTATTTAATGCTGTACTCTCATTTCTAGATTTTTGTTAATTTTATTGGATTCCAAAAAGTCTCAGTATACCTTCAGTGAGTATTTTTTAGTGATAAAATTTGTAATGAGAATAAAATGACCTATAAAATTTCGATTCTAATAGTTTTCATTTCCATATATCTCTTTTTCTACGGTAACCTCAAAAAATTCTTCGATTTGTTTTACGATTTCGTCCTTTCTATTCTGCCGTAATCAATACAGAAATGGCATAATAAAAAATCAATAAAGAGCCTGCCCAAGAAAAAAATAATAATTTGTACCATTTCTATTGTTCAAAACATGGATGGTGAATATATTTTTGACTGATAAAAATAATTTTTGGATCCTATGACAAGAAATCCTACCACAAAAACTGAATAATGATGCATCCAAAATCCCCATATATTTCTGCTCGCCCCTTCATTGAAAAAGGTAATTTTTTTCACGATTTTAATGAGCTTTGCTTTTTAATTTGAAAATCAACTACCTTGAATCTACGCCACTGTTCAGGGATGGGAATAAAACAATATTATTCGTGTCACTAAGTTTGAAATACGCCACAAAATTATGAATCTGATGCGCACATAAAATGATCACTTTGATTATATTATGTTTATATTTTATTTCGCGAAATTCTTCAATCAGCTTTCCGACAATTCGATAAACATGTCTGAACACGTTAAATACATAAACACGTTCAGACATGAGTGAAGAAATGGAGGGGTATGTGATCTGCTCCCACTCCTTTTCCTTCCATTATCGTACTACAACAACATCGTTATCAGCGAAGCCATCTTTTGATAGTAAAGCAAATCCGCGTAGCTGTGAAACTTGTCATAGGCAGAACTTGAAACAAAACAACGTGCCACCATTCGTACGATCTGAGTACGCGTACACGTGGCGTTCAAAACACGTTTTCACACGTTGCCATTTTCAAACACAAATACAGAACTAAATATCGACCGCACCTTGTAACACTAGGACGTCCTTAGTAATCCAATAGAAGAAAGTAACACATCACAAGATATCAACACTATATTTGAGCATCCAACGAAACTGATGAGATTGTTACAATCATAAATATGTCCGTAGCGGGACGTAACACTACGCACTCAAACACAGAACCGAACAGAACTGGAAATCGCCTGACATCGAGACTCCCATACGGTAGGACGTATGGCGCATGCGCAGAACCTCGAATCCAACGGCAACAGCTAGGCTTCCCGTTATCTTCGAATTATCGGCGATTTATCTCGAAGTTTTTCTGGCTGAAACACCTCTGGCTCTACTTTTCCACATTTTCCTGCACTTGGTGTTTCGAAATCGATCTTGCGTTACCAAATGCTGGCCTGAAGGGCACTGAACTTTTTCGATACTCTGCCGAATAACCTCCTGATAATGACACAACTCTAGAAACCAAGGCAAGGAGGGAATCGATGAAAAAGAAAAGGCCATCAAAAGATAACGATCCTTTGGCATTTACGCAGTAAGAAGCAATTCGGCTGGCCGTTACTTGATACATAAACGATGTTCGAGGTCAACGTTGAATTACTAATGCGAGCACTGTACACTCTCTGGCCTGACACGACTAGCGCTGACGCAAGCTGGCGTGGTTAGCTCCGCGTAAAAGCATTTCGACATGTTTCTCGGCTGCATTATCCCCCCTCCCAGGAAAAAGGTTCCGAAATAATTAGGAAGAGGACAACTTTTGGAATAGTAGCTAACGAACTAACAAAAAGGTTCGATGCACAAACGTTCAGAATACCCTACATTTAGTAACGGTGCCTACTCAAGATGAAACCAGTCGTATCGACGAAATGTTGATAAACACTTGAAAATGAAAAACGTCAGCAAACAATACCGTCAGCTGGAACCTTGTGAACTCATGTTTCAGTTCAAACAAGTAGTCAACGAAAGGAAATATGACCTAGCTTGGAAAAAATAGTGGCCAACAGTATTGTTTATCAGACTTTTGTGAGAGAGACCAAGAAAAATTGCGGCACCTACTGTTGATAGTTTCAAGAATTGACTGAACAAAAAACGTATTCAACATCTAACTGCGTGGAAGCAATCTGCTGCCTACGGGCCAGGTCAAACATGTTTATTTAAAACAATGATAATGAATTGCGCTAAAAATTGAAGTCATTTAAAATCTTTACGCCAAAAACTTTCCTGAACATCACAATTGTTCTCAGTTGGATCATTTAGAAAAACAAATTTTCATTCCACTGAATCAAAATTTCCCAATGGAACGTCTCGTTTGAACTTGAAACTAATATCTCAACAAGGAGTGAGGGAATACGACAAATACTAAAAAGAAACACTGAAAACTGTCGAAAATCTTTAGAGGTCTAACCTTTTTACAATAAAGAAATCGATCTGCTGAACAGAGCAAATGTTGATTCTTGTTCCCCGCACTTGAAGAAAGCACAAAAAACGGTGATCTAGGGATTTTCAAAAAATAAACTCTAGTAACTACACCAAGCATGTCAACAACAATATTCAACAGAAAGAAAAATATTTTCACCAAATTGAAGTCTACAAAGCCTTGAAGGATATCCAGAGAGAGGCACTGAAATAGCTATTCATATAATCAATTTTGCAATTGTCATATTATTTTATGATAAAAGTATATTTCATGGTATACAATCGTTACGCCCTGTAGAACACGTGTGAATTTAAGGTTGACATGATCAGTCAATAATTCATGATTTCAATCGGGTGATTTTCAGTACAAAATTCCTGGATGAAAAATAAAAAAAAATCATTTTGATGCCCTCAAAAATGTTGTATACTTAAAACATTTTAAAAACAAGGAAACTAGCTTCATTTTGTTTCTATTTCCCATCAACGTAGGGGTTCAAGTTGGCAAAAATTCTATTTCAAATTCATATTGGAAAAATGACTTTTGCAAATAACTCATATGTACCACAGGGATCGAATTTAGAACCACTGTTCCTGGCCCTGAAATATTTGGCTTTCATAATTGAACGTCCATTTTTTGTATCAATGTATGAAATGACTTTATTTTTCGTCAATGAGACAGAAGTTATTGAAATTTGCCCCCCATTGTTTGGTTTGGCAAGTTAGAAAGTATTTGGAAGAACTAGAGATCAGAACAAAGTACCGATTCTGGACCCTTGACACAAAGTGAATTTTAAATTATTATTAATTTTCAGATAAATAGATAGATAGGTCTTTATTTGACTACGTTATGTAAAGTAGTATTTGTGTTGAGGTATCAGATTACTCAGGAATATAAAGCTAAGTCAAGATAATGCGTAAAATAAAACTATAAAATTATATAAAAAACACAAGACTTTAGATAAGTCTATAAAGTACCAATCTAGATAATATTTCTGAAAACCATAGTACAGATTATAAAATAAAAATACACGGCTTGATAACAAACTTTATAGCAACTAGATAATATATGCCTAATGTATGAACATAATGAATTATCATTGTGTAAGTTGCACTCATGACAATATTAATTGTAAGTAAATAATTAATCACAGTTATCAGTTTTAACAAGTATTTTTCAATAAATAACCAAATGCACGCCAGTGCAGTTAGAAAACAACCCGAAAGCCCATGAAATATTTTGTTTGCAACCCGTTTGGGTTATAAAAATAGGGTGGACCCGGTGAAGTAGTATAAATCCGCCTATACCAGCTATGTCAAATGAGTACGAAACCACAAAATTTTTTTTAAGCCTCAGGTAAGCGTTCGACCTTTATAAAGGGCATCAGTAACTTTCAACTATAAGGAAACATAGTATAGTCTAGAGCAGGGGTCTCCAAACTACGGCCCGCGGGCCAAATCCGGCCCGCGACAGCCAATGATTTACTGTCATCAATCTGGCCAATGATTACCTAATTGTTGTTTCTATTGCTGTGATAAATTGAAGAAGAAAACACAGAATGATAATTACTCGGTTTTATTTACTTGCAAGGTAAAACTTAACGACAGAAATGATGACAAAGAAAACTTAACTGAAGTATCTAAGTTCAAGCATATTAATAACCAACAAATAATTGAAATGAATCACAGTAAAACAAAAACACTAATGAGATTTATGTGATTGTGATTTTCCACCGACAATACTCTGTAGTTGTGGATCAATTTTACTTGTACCAATTATCAAAAGAGATTCAAGATGCTCATCGGTTAATTGAGATCTGTAAACATTCTTTGTGTACTTCTTCTTGGAAAACGTTTTCTCACACAAGTAAGTAGTACCAAAAACAGAAAACACGAGCAAATTTATGCAAATTATCATATTGTTCCAGTGGAAGACTCTTATAAAATTCCAACAAAGATGAATTTTGATATTTGTTCTTAAGCATATCACTGCACCGTAAATAAATAATTTCCATTTGGACTTCCGGAGCCAGGGTTTCAATGTCAGAATCAAAAGGATTTTGAAAAAGCTTAATTTCATTCGCAATGACATCAAAATCTGAAAAACGAGTATCAAAATTTATCTTCAAAGATCTCAAAGTTTCGATTGCAAAATTGACGGAAAATTCAGTCTCTGTAGTGTGGCTGAATATTTCACATGTTTCAAAATGTGTGAAACATTTTTTACGTAATTGCGATTGAAATAATATTATTTTCTGTCTGAAGGATTTGATATTGGTGTATAAATCAGGGAGAAGCTGATTTTCTCCTTGCAATCTCAAATTCAGTTCGTTCATATGATTTGTCGAATCGACATGGAAGGCTAACTTCCACATCCATTCACTATTTTCTAAATCGGCAAACGGGCGCTGCTTTTCATTTAAAAAAATTTCGATCTCTGCTCGAAATTCAAAAAAGCGCTTAAGGATTTTTCCGCAACTAAGCCAGCGTAAGGCAGTATGATTTGGTAAATCTATTTTTCCAATCTGTTGAATAAACTCGCGGAATTGTCGGTGATTCAGCCCAGTGGATCTGATGAAGTTAACAACTGATATGACTGGTTTTAGAACTTCAGACATATCCAAACATTTTCCGCACAAGGACTGTTGATGAATGATACAATGTAAGACTAATGGTTTTGAACCACCATCATTTTCTACAGCCCTTGGCAAAAGTGCAACTACTCCTTTATTTTTACCATACATATTTTGCCTCCATCAGTTGCTATAGATTTCAAATTTCTCCATCGAAGGTTCTTTTTATTAATGACATTTTCAACTCCCTTAAAAATATCTGCCCCAGTTGTCGTGCCGTGAATACTATCAAGAAGTTCTTCATACACTTCATAGCTTTTATCTACTCCGCGAATAAAAATCAACACCTGAGCAGCATCTGACACATTCGTTGACTCATCCAATGCTAGAGAAAACCACTTATGATGTCCATTTTTGTCAGACAGTTGAGATGATATATTTTCTGCGATGTCTTGCATCCTCCGAGCCACGGTGTTTGCTGACAAACTGACACTTTTGAATAAATTTACCTTTTCGGGGCATATTTCTTTGGCTGCTGCAATCAAGCATTCTTTTATAATTTCTCCATCGGTGAATGGTTTGCCACGTTTTCCGATTTCAAGAGCCACACGAAAGCTGGCGCGAGTTGCAGAGTCTTGTTCAGTATTCGCTTTGGTAAACAAAGATTGCTGCGATTCGAGTCCGCGTTTCAAAGCTTCAAATTTTTCCTTCCGCAAACTTCCTGTATACTTGAAGTAACTTTGAAGATGTTACACTAGCTAGAACCAGTACTTTCTCGAACTAACGCGGTAATTCCAAATATTTAATTACGCCTAATACCACCTAGCGGATAGCTGAAAAAGATAGTACATAGTACAACTACTCGCCACTAGATGTCGTTAAGTGTCACAATACACAATAATAATTGAAATGCAAAAAAGCGTAAGTTTGCTTAGGTCACGCACTTTGCGACTATCCTAGTCTGGAAATATAGTTAAGGGCATAAATTGGCCCTAGGAACATACTGAGAAAATCATTATGGCCCGAAGGATTCAAAGTTTGGAGACCCCTGGTCTAGAGTCTAGATAATTAAGATGCTCGATATATTTGAATCATTGTATTGATTCAGAGTTGCTGATGCAAATGTAAAACCCACCTACCACTTAGTCCTCTTTAATTATGCTCAATTTCAAACTGAGCCGCAAAAATTCCAAGTGAAGCCATCTAATGGGAAATTGAAAGAAAAATATTCAGTTCTCAACTCAGTGTTGCATGTCAACCTTAATTGCCCAGGCAAATTTCCTCCTGCATCAAAACAGTCTTACTGGGTTGTGGATGGTTTCCGGGTTTTGCCGTGGGTTTCTTTGATTACCATCTCCAAACTCTTGAACTGCAACTGCGGCAGTCATCTTCCTTATGTATAATCTGTATTTATGTAATTTCATCTGAATCCTTCAGTCGTTTAGGCGCGAAAGAGCCACAAACATACATTTATCCAATCCCACAAACTTCCACATTCATAATAATAGTATAGATAAGATTTTTCAAAAAACGCTGTTTCAAAGTTCATTTTTTCCGTATAAATCAAGAAACACTAACGCAAGCACTATTCTAAAAGTTCAGGGACATTTC